AGAACGGCATAGCTTTGCACCATCGAGGTAAGACCATTGTATTGTTGACACGCCAAGTGTAATCGACGTAGTTTTTTATTTGGTGCCAGTCTAACACATCTTTGTGTGACATTTTATACTTATGTTCTTATAGAACATTCTATTGCGAACACATTGGTGCAAAAATGAAATACGTAAATCGAAAATTAATGTCAGGACAGTGAAAAGAGTATACACTTTTCAGTGTTGCCACTGGATCGCCCGAAAGCCGCACTATTTTCTTAGGTTAAACCTTACCACTGGCTTTCTTGGGACCCATGACGAGATATATAATAACAACTTTTACGGTTAAATGACCAAAAATCCAACACTAAAAATCCGGGTGAAGAATTGCCGTGGGATAGTCACTGGGCGCGAGGCACTGGTAAACTGAGGGGTGAGAGGCAACGATCGCCGTACCACCACGCGCTAGTTCGGCCTGTATGCGTATCAACAAACTCGCCTTCCGAGGTAACCCTCGCCTTCCGAGACACATTTTCTGAGGAAATCCTGCTTGTATTCCGAAAAACTCGTATACAGGGACACTCGTATTCCGAGGCACCACTGTACAACTCGTCAAAAAGGTTTGATTTTAATTGAACCAGTTTTCACTTATTGCATATTTGGATCGAAAACCATTCAAATGCCCCTTTAAAGATGATGAGGTAACCTCAGGAGGCTGCTTTTCACCATGTACTCTAATGTAACAAATACCATGGCAAAGTTTAAAGCTTCTGAGCCATCCATTAGTGTTTGAACATCAAGTGGCACTGTGTACGGTCTCTGGGCAAACTAGTTCCATCTTTATTGCATATTTTTATTCAGACTGCCTGCTTCACCATTTAATCAAACTTTATTTAGACAAACCCCAAACAGACTCAGATAAGTGGCATCCAGAAAGCATGTGGTTGTCTGTATACTCAAACACAAAATTTTATGCAAAGATACATATTGTTTATCATCATTACTCTGTTTCCTATTTTCAGAGTGAAAAGGCCTGGAGAAAACAGTTTCCCCTACTTACAGAATGAGGAGGCATCAGTGTGGAGGTAACAAATATGGTATAGCAGTGAGTGTAATGAAAGCACCTCAGTACTGCACCTACCCACACACTATTGCATGGTAACAATCTCCACCTACCAGAAACATGTACCATTTCACACTGACATGCTCTTTCTCTAAGGCTGGAGTGCTTATTTATTAGTGGTTATCAGGTGAGTGAGATCTAGCTTCTTATACCCCAACTCCTAGTTATTTATACCTGAAATGGTAATTACCTCTCTCAACCTTAACATTTTATTTTTTATTTTTTTTATTTTTTAAGTAGTGGCTTCAATAACATCTTCCTCCAATGCACTGCACTTGCTGACCACAGGTACAGGGATCACAAACTTCCTTACATTGCTTCAATTCAAATGCATGTCCAGCTTCCATATACAGTGGTACCTTGCATAACGATCGCCCCAAAAGGCGAACATTTTGGGTAACGAACGGCCCAATCGGCGTCAAATCGTCGTGTATGACGAACGCTGGTTTGAGTAACGTCAACACCACATGGTGGGGTCGCACTGCTTCTTGCACATTCTTAGACGCCTCTGACGATGCCCATTAATTATGTTGTTCTTGTTTAAAGATGCTAATGATGCTGGGATATAAAGGGGTGACTGCTGAGATGTTGCAAAGCATTGACGTTTTTGTAGGAAAAAAGAAATGACATTTCATATATACAACAAATGTCAAATGGGTTCGTTCAGTGTTCAGCAGGTAAGATGCTCCATTACAACAATCTTTCTTTGTTTCAAATGTGTTCCATTTGTTTTGTATTTGTCATTTACGTCTCAATAATGAAGCAGCCTACCTTACATACACTGAACAAACCATTATGACATTTTCCTTTCTTCAAATGTGTTCACTATTTATTTTTCATTTGTCTTATAGCAGAAGGTTCGTTCGGTGGTCGGCAGGTAGGCTGCTCCATGTTTCTTACATAAAAAAAAAATAAAAAATAAAAAAATAAAGAATTTTGAAAACCAGAACAAATGTCAAAAAGGTTCGTTCGGTGGTCTACAGGTAGGCTGCTCCATGTTTCTTAAATAAAAAAATGAAAAAGAAAAGAACTGTTGAAACAATTTGAAAAATGGACAAATGCCATAAAGATTCGTTCAGTGTTTGTCGGGTAGGCTGCTCCATTATTGAGACGTACATGACAAATACAAAACAAATGGAACACAATTGAAACAAGGATAGATTGTCATAATTGAGCAGCCTACCTGACAAACACTGAACGAACCTTTTGCTATAACGAATATGAAAGACAAGGGCTGCTGGCTGGGTTAGTACTGTGTGAGCAACCATTTGTGGCACACATGCCTCTGGCTCCCAAACACCTGTCTGACACGGTGTTGAAAGATTGCGCTCAGTCGGTGAAATTCAAACCTTATTGTTTGAAGAACATAAGGGTCATAATATTGGTGAAGCTATGCGCAATAAGGACTTAACACAACGGTCGAATGCAAGTGATACAGCACCTATGAGGATGATACAGCAAGTGTATCCAGTTGTAGCTCTGAGCCCCACCCTTGCCATCTCCAATTTATATAGATGATACATAGATGAATCGTTTTCTGTGTTCAGTGATGATGCATCTGATACACACTCTTTGAGGCTAGCTGAATCTCTTCCTGTGTGGGACCTTAAAAGCGATCTTTTCAAGACTACCTTACAAATTGAGCTTTTCCTATAATCGTTTCAATTCTACCTTATACTTTACAAGCTTGGCTACATACCACCTACAAGTACTAAAATCAAGGGTGCACGCGAGTGCGTTATTTGCAAGCACACAGAATGATGAAACAGGAAGCGAAAATCTATCTGTAGCTGGTGCAAGGAGAGCAAAGTCGCAGTGTGTACCATGGACTACTTCGTTGACTATTACGCACCTCCAAAGTACTGAGTGTGTAATACAGTGTGTTCCTGTGTAAATAGTATGTGAAACTGTACATATTGTAATTTTAGTGAATTGTTACCACGTAATATTGTGACAATAAACATTTATTGTGGACACATTACTGACACATGTATCACAGTTCCATGGAAAATTATGAACATTCTACTGTATACATATTGTAAAGGTCACACATATGCATCATATACGATAACAGAAACAAATAAAACCGCATTGGAAATACATAGAAAAAATATTTGAAAATATATTTGTGGCAACACACGGTGCTTGAATGGCCTGCGCGACCGTGTCTGGGAGCTTCACACACGGGCGACCAGCCCCCGATGACCTCACAGCGCACCTTGTCCACGCCCTCACAGCCAAAGTAAGTGGAATTTGGTAATTATTTTTACATAGACATGTTCAGGGAAGGTAATTTATCATTTTACAAAGAAAAATTATTTTTGGGAACATTTGATGTCAAGCACACTGGGGGAATTTCACAATAAACACAGCTAGTGCATCACAGTGGTTACATGGGGGACACTCGTTTTGTACGACGTCCGTTTCACATGACGAACATGGAACGGATTAAATTCGTTATTCGAGGTACCACTGTATATCCATCTGTATTACTTTTTAATTTAAATGGGCTTATTGAGGTTATCTTGAAGTGATTTCGGGGCTTAGCGTCCCCACAGCCTGGTCCTTGACCAGGCCTCCTTTTTGTTACAGACCTTCCAGGAAGCAGCCCGTAGCAGCTGTCTAACTCCCAGGTACCTATTTGCTGTTAAATAACAGGGGCATCAGGGTGAAAGAAACGCTGCTCATTTGTTTCTGCCTCCACTGGGGATCGAACCTGGAACCTCAGGACTATGAATCCAAAGCGCTGTCCACTCAGCTGTCAGGCCCCTTTCAGGCTTCCTTTATCCACATTTACAAAAATTAAAATGTCTAATGGTTCAAGGACAGAGCCCTGTGGTACACCACTTTCCATTCCTCTCCAGCCTCACATAACCTCTCTGATTATGAGTCTGTTTCCCATCTTGTCAAGTACTCCTGTACCCAGTCTAGTGCCTTTTCTATTATCCTTGCTTGTCTCTCCAGCTTGTGTATGAATCTTTAGAGAGGTAATGTTTCAAAAGCTTTTTGGCAGTCTAGAAAGATGCAGTCTACATATTGTTCCTTCTCTTGTCTTATTTTGATGACCCAGTCATAGAATTCATCCAAGTTTGTTACGCATGATTTTCTCCTCTCTGAAGCAGTGTTGTGCCTCTATTATAAAATTTACTCATCTTCTACAATCCTTTTTCTGATGACTTCTCTAGAATCCTGCATGGAATGAATGTCAGTAACACTAGTCTGCAGTTTAGCATTTCATGTATTTCCATTTTCTTGAATATTAAAATGACATTTACCTTTTTCCAGATTTCCAGTAGCTTTCCCGTCTGTAGTGTAATGCTGAGCACTACCTACTTACCTGTTGTCCATTTGTTGTTGGTTCCAGGAATCAACATTCCCAGAGCCCGATCTCTAACCGGGCCTCCCGGTTGACGGTCTGGCCAACCAGGCTGTTGGACACAGCTACTTTGCAGCCTGACATAAATCACATCTCAGTTGGTCAGGTATCTTTTGGAGGTGTGTATCAAGTTCTCTCTTAAACACCGTGAAAGGTTGGTTAGTTATGCTCCTTATGCATAGGGGGAGTGTTGAAAAATCTTGAGCCCTTGATCATGAAATTCTCTCTCAGCATATGTATGCACCTCTGATATTCAAATTGTCTATTTTGCACATCCTGCCATACCTCCTGGGTCCTTCTTGATTTTCCTTTTGTTGATAAGATTTAATACTTTCCTAGGCTTTATAAAAAACTTATCATGTAAAGTAAAGATATAGGATGCACAGTATCAGTAATATTAACAGCCATGAGCTTGGCTGTAGGAAGTGTACCTGTAGTACTTACAAATGACAAGTACTTACAGGTACTGGTGAGATTGAAGCATATGATCAACAGAACAAGCCTCATAAAAGTACTAACCTGTATGGGGAGGATGTCGTTCCGGTAGGATCAAGGTCTTGAAATTCATTACACACATGGATTCACAGCCAAGCCACTTATCACTAATGGCTTTCACATAATACTGGTTTGGCATTGGCTCAAAGATAGGTATGGTAAACACAAGCTCCTGGGTATCTTGTCGCAAAACCTGGAAGAATGCACAAAGATGGGTATGGTAAACACGAGGACAAAGTTAACTTTAATTTGCACAAGATTTCTCAAGACAAAATCCCCTGAGATTAAGGTCTGTCTGTACAAACAGTTGAACATCCTTAATCTGAAACACTTGGTCACAGGTTCAACATAAGGAGTACAGTATACAATGTAGCTTAGTTTAGCGGAGCTACATTTATTTGGATTCCCATTTAATCCAAAAGGAAATATGCTTGTAAGCTACTTCCGGATATACGAGAATAAGAGAAAATGGGTTCACATACGTGGATGGTGTCAGCAGTGGACTGCACTCGTATGAAAAATAACAAAGTTACCCTTAAGCCACATATCCGATCTAAATAAACCTTGTGATGAGGTGAATTTTCCCACCTCACTTATTACTTCTACCATGAACAAGCACTAAATGCAAATCAGATGTAACGTATACTGTCAGTGACTTTGCAAGAAAGTAATGCTCAAACACCAATGTTATGTACCCTCAAAACCCAATGTACCTGTACCTTTTTGTATAGAAATAAATAAACAAATAAATAAGTAAATAAATAAAATACAAGCGTTGAATGTAATGAATCGCCATTTTCTGGGCGAGACCTGGAGGCTTCCCAGGGCGATCCAGGCTGATATTGCTAATGTCACACTTCGGCATCAGTCATGTGTATGGAGTTCTTTAGGCCTACTGGGGACCACGAGCCAGAACCTGGCCCCCTCAGAGAGGCACGAGGAGCAATGGCCTATAGAACCTGGATAGCTCCGGGGAGTCGATGGGGCTCCCCCCAGAAAAATAAATAAATAATTAAATAAATAAATAAATAAATAAGAAATTTGGGAATCACAAGATCTACACATTGTCCTACAGACCTACCTTTGGACCTGGTCTTACAGACCTGTCCTACAAGACCTACAGCGTTGAACGTAATGAAATGCAATTTACTGGCTGAGACCCGGAGACTGCCCAGAGCTATCCAGGCTGATATGTATATCCCTGATATATAGATCTATTCCTGATATATATATCCTGATACAGATTGCCCCTACTTACGATAATTTTGAGTTATGATGTAAATTTCAACGAAAAATGCGACTTGACATCCGATGGTGTTGTCGACTTCCGATATTTATTGGTACACGTTCGAGTCGACCGAACGTGGTTCCCGGTCACGCGGCCGACCTGCCTCAGTTTACTACAGCTGCCTGCTTAGTGACGATCGCGCCTATAAGAAATTCCGCTTTTGTGGTGATTTTTTGCATTTTGAACATTAAAATAATTATTATATATCACACCATGAGTCCCAGGAAAGTCAGTGGTAAAGCTCAACATATGAAAACCCATGTAAGGATGACCATAGAGCAGAAACAAGAGTACAAAATGTCTCTTCCTCAACAATTAAGAAAATGTGTGCAGCATGGGAAGAATTGCAAACCTTTCCTGAAACGACTCGCCCAAATCAAGCTGCAGTAGGTCGTAGCATTAACCTATTCAATGACACAGTGATGCATCATTACAGACAAATGTTAAAACGAAGGGAAAAACAAATGTCTCTTGACAAATTTGTAGTGAGACAAACAAGCACTGAACCACAACCAGGTTATCTTGAGATCTTGAGGTTATCTTGAGATGATTTCGGGGCTTTAGTGTCCCCGCGGCCCGGTCCTCGACCAGGCCTCCACCCCCAGGAAGCAGCCCGTGACAGCTGACTAACACCCAGGTACCTATTTACTGCTAGGTAACAGGGGCATTCAGGGTGAAAGAAACTTTGCCCATCTGTTTCTGCCTCGTGCGGGAATCGAACCCGCGCCACAGAATTACGAGTCCTGCGCGCTATCCACCAGGCTACGAGACCCCTTATGTAGCGTAGTGGTATTCAGGCAAAACGTAGGAGAGAAAGTACCCCAGAGAAAACATCACTGCCTGATGTGATAATGGAAGGGGACTCCCCTTCCAAACAGTAACAACTCTCCCCCTTCCCCCCTCATCACCATCTTCCATACGCCATCATGAGCCCTCCATAAAGGTAAGAGAAACTTTGGTACTGTATTGTAGTTAGAAAAAACATTGTATTCAGTATAAAATGTATTTGTATGTTAATATTTTGGAGGGTGGGGAACGGATTACAGTGGTACCTCGGAATGCGAGTGTCCCTGTATGCGAGTTTTTCGGAATACAAGCAGGATTTCCTCGAAAAATATGTATCGGAACGTGAGGGTTACCTCGGGACACGAGTTTGTTGATACGCGTACAGGCCGACCCAGCACGTGGTGGTTCGGCGATCGTCGCCCCTCCACCCCTTCGCCCCTCAGTTTACCATTGTCTCGCACCCAGTGACTATACCACATCAATTCTTCTCGCGGATTTTCAGTGTTTTGTTGGATTTTTGGTGATTTGACTATACAATTTGTTATTATATATCTCACCATGGGTCCCAAGAAAGCCAGTGGTAAGGATAAAGGCCAGAAAGCCCATGTGAGGATGACAATAGAGGAGAAACAAGAGATCATTCGGAAGCATGATAACGGTACACGTGTTGTTGAACTTTGTAGGCAGTACAACAAAGCCACATCAACAATATGCACTATACTTAAGAAGAAAAATGAGATTATAAGTGCTAAAGTGGCAAAAGGAGTAAGAACAATAATGAAACAAAGACCACAAATACTTGAAGAAGTGGAAAAGTTGTTATTAATTTGGATACACGACAAGGAGTTAAGGGGTGACAGTGTTTCGGAGGCCATTATTTGTGAGAAAGCCAGGGTTTGGACAGATTTGTGGTGAGGAAATCGAGCAGTGAGCCTCAACCAGGACCTAGTGGCACTCAGATAAAACGTCCCAGGGAGAGCACACCAGAAAGGCCTTCACTGCCTGATGTGATAATGGAAGGGGACTCCCATTCCAAACAGTAACTCTTCTCCTCCTCCCCCCTCCTCACCATCTTCCATATGCCTACAGCATTCAACAGCAAGGTAAGTAATAACTTGAACATAGTTTTGTAGGTTTATTTAGATGAATTAGGTATAAAAATTTAGTTTGATGTGGGGTTTTTGGGGTAGTCAGGAACGGATTAAATCATTTCCCATTATTTCTTATGGGGAAATTAGCTTCGGAATACGAGGCATCTCCAGGAACCAATTAAACTCTTAAACTGAGGTATGCCTGTAATTCAATTCCCTTTATTTCTTATGGGAAAAGTCGCTTCGACTTACGATATTTCGACTTATGATCCGTCTCTAGGAACGGAATAGCATCGTAAGTCGAGGCCCCATTGAATATAAACTTTGGCCACAGTCAGTGCGGATGGAGTTCTAGGCCTACCTGGACCACAGCCAGAACCTGCCCTCCCTCAGAGAGTCACAAAGATCAATGGCCTATAGAAATGCACATGTGCTTTGGAGCATTCAATATCTGCCATCGACCGGGACAGGCACCCGGAACGGTAAGCACCACAAAACAAACCTTTATTCTGGTATAAACAACAAAAGAAGACTAATGAGTGGACAGAACTCACCAATTGAAAACAAGCAAACAAGCACGACGTCACACAAGCCGAGCCGCATGTCTGCGCAGCTTCCCCCTTCCCCAGCTCTGCAGGGAAAGGGGGAGACCCAGACTCACCGCGCAAGCGATCCATCCATCAGTTCAAGGCTAGATGTCAAAACACGGAAAAAAAAAAAAAAGCGACCGGGAGGAGGGAGGGATGCCGGGGAGCCTCCGGTTTCACGAAGAAAATGGCGTTTCATTACATTTAACGTTGGTTTTCTGGGGGAGCCCCTTCAGCGCCCCGGAGCTCCATTACAGAAGATGAAAACTAGAGGGACTTACCCGGGAGGCAGTCGGTGCTCGCACCTTAACTCAGAGTCAAGACAACAGGCTGCAACCACCAACCCAAAGCGACACAGGCCAGACTAGACCTAGCAGTAAAATAGGTACCTGGGTGTTAATCAGCTGTCATGGGCTGCTTCCTGGGGTGGAGGCCTGGTCGAGGACCGGGCCACGGGGACACTAAAAAGCCCCGAAATCATCTCAAGAATAACCTCAAGAAGGCCCCAGAACATTTACGAGGTAACGTGCCACCAGGACCCTGTTCGACCTCCAAAAACCCTGTGCCCAATGTCAGCCCAAGACATGTTACCAAAGACGGCAGCTAGCACAGCAAACATATGAACGTCATGGCACGGGAGATAGACCGCAAGCTGGCTGGACCGAATAACCCTGCGGACAACCTGAAACACCCAAACCCAAGAAAAGGAAAGAAAGCAAACCCGATCAACCCAAAGCACGTCCCCAGCCACCGATGCTGTTGCGTGCAAGTAACGGTGGAGAGCTGCAACTGCACACAACACATGATACACCCATGATATGACAAAGAGTGCTGGGAAGATGGGACACCACGAGCATAGCTCTTATCCAGTAACTACACTTAAGTAATTACCCTAGGCCTGACCAACCAAGCATCAACAACGAAAGGACCCCTCCGGAAAGCAGCAGTGTCATTACTTGCCAGAAAAGACGGAGACGCCTGCAAACAAACAAACCTATTACCTCGACCAAAAGAGCAGAAGCCTCTGTGCCAGAGGAGAGCATGAAGCTCCCCAACCCAATCCCCAGAGGTGCATGAGCAGGCCGGAGGGGAACAACGCATGAGACAGCTTGCGAAACGATGCGGAAGTAATATCTATGCTGAAAACAAGCTGCAGCTGCTCCGCCAGCACCGCATGATATGAGGCGACAGTATTCGGAATCTGAGGACGGTCCTGAAACAGCCATAAGAGAAAGAACAAAACAACCCGAACCGAAAGGGAAGTACAATGACGGAGAGACAAAAAGAACCGGAAGAACCGCCAGGAAACTTCATACTGCCGCTGAGATGAAGCCCGTAGGTGAGACACCGTCAAAGAAGCCACCTGATCACCATAGAGTTGGAGACAGACTCGAGTCAAAAACTCCAGACGCGAAGACTCGAGAAGAAGATCGAAACAGTCTCATAAGGGATCGGGTCGGTCTGCTGAAAGAGGCGAAGCTGCGGGAAAACCTCTGGATTCGAACACTGAACAAGCACCGCCTGAAACCAAGGCTGGGCTGGCCACCAAGGGGGCCAGACTACTCTCCCCTGGTAAGTCTCCAATCGAGCCAGGACCTAGAGCAACAGCTGAACCGGGAGGAAGAGGTATAGGAACCCCCACCTCGACCTGTCCTGCCGAAAGGCATCGACCCCAATGGTCTCGCAGTCGGGGAACAACGCCACATATACCCGAAGACGCCTCGACCACGCAGACGTGAGGAGGTCCACCTCCAGGCACCCGAACGTCTGGCAGAGCAAACTGAACGAGTCGGCAGCGACTGTCCATTCCGTAGACAAGGGAATGAACCAGGACAGGTCGTCCTCCAGGGTGTTGGGCACACCCTGGACGTGAAAGGCCAGGAGAGCCAAACCCAGAGAATTCAGCAGACGAGTCACCAAAAGCAACCAGTGCCAAAGAGCCAAGGACCGCATCGAACCTCCCCGGTTCAGGCAATGAACCACTGGGGAGCAGTCCTAATGGAGCCAATCATCGATCCACTGGTGACCCGAACCCTCCAAGGCACAACCCACACCACTGCGAACTCCCGCACCGTGCTCTGGGCCCAAAGGAAGAATGGACCCCACCGCCCCTTACCGGACTGGTGAGCACTGGTCACAAAATACCAGCCAAGAGACGACGTGTCCATAAACACATCGAGCAAGGGCTCGGGTAGGTACCAAGGTACTGAACCCCGAAAAACCCGAAGAGGAATCCGGCGACGTAGCAACGGGCGCAAGGCCCCAGGGGGTCGAACCCAGTAATCGCGAGAAAGGCGGAAGGGACGTCCCCGAAGGAACCAGAGCAGCCGACATAACCAAACTTGACCCAGCAGGTAGATCATCATTGCAAAGTTCAGGCTGCCGCACAGACCCTCGAGCAACTGCCGGGTGACCCGGAAGCCCCCCAAAAACTGGCACATGCAAGACTGCAGACGAAGGAGAAACTCCAGGGGGAGATACAAGGAAGCTGTCTGAGAGTCACGCACAAGACCCAGCAAGGTCCGAATCTGGGAGGGAACCAGATGGGACTTCCTCCAGTTCACCATGAACCCAAACCCGGCTAGCTGGGAAAAACCAAACCCCTGGCGAGCAGACGTGTAGACCAACTGGGAGCCCAGACCAGGCAGTCGTCGAGTTAGGCCAACACTCTAACACCTAAGAGACACAGACGGGCCACGACGACCTGAAGCTAGGTTCAGCCCGAATGGGAGACAACGGAAGCAGTATTCCTGATGCCCCACAACAAAATCGGGCCAGTCCCTGAACCCCTGATGAATAGGGACGTTCCAATATGCGTCCTTGAACGGAACAAGTCCAGAATGAACCGCTGGTCTGCACAGTCAGCTGTGGCAAAGAGCCAAAGCTCAACTCCCACAAGCACAACTAGGCAAGTACAGTCCCGTTTCGGAACTGGAAACAGGAAGAAAACCCACCTGATTGACGTTGTCGTTTCGGCCACGCCCAAGCACACCCACTCCGAGACGACCTGACAGCTCTGAACCTCTCGAAGCAGAAGCCACTCAACACAGGCCGCGGAAACGATCCGAAACACCTACAAATCATGAGACCATGTGCGTGCAAACAGAACAAGCCTCCTCCATTGACCCAAGGTAAACAAAGGAGGAGAACCCCCAACACTCGGGGCAGTCAATGACCAAGCAGCAAAAGACCAACAGAGGTAGACCCCAAGGTGACTTGTGGAAGAGAACCCCAAGCCCCAAGGGCGGTACTTACAGGACCTAGACAAAGCCTTACAATAAGCACAGCACAGCAAGAGTAACTGGAGCTGGAGCCACCTAACTGTGCCTAATCACATCAGCCTAAGAACTAGTGGTTGGATCACCTGCATGGTGGGTCTGGGACTTCCACTTCCCCCTCCGGGGAGGGGTGAGCTGCATAGACAAGTGGTGCGGCTCATGTGATGTCATGCTTGATTGCACATTTTCATTTGGAGAGTTCTGTCCACTCATTTGGCTATTTACATTGTTTTAACAAGAACAGGGATTTTTGAGATGCTTACCTTTCTGGGTGCCTTTCCCGGTCGATGGAAGATATAGAATGCTCCAAATCATGTGCATTTTTATGGGCCATTGCTCCTTGTGGGATGGGGGGAACCTGGCTACCTGAGGGGGCCAGGTTCTGGCTCGTGGTCCCTGGTAGACCAAGACCTCCATCCACACTGACTGATGCTAAAGGTTAGGCATCAGCCTGGATAGATACATATCTACATATCAGCCTGGATAGCTCCAGGGAGCTGAAGGGGGATTTCCCCAGACAAATGTGTGGTTTTTAAGATGTGAACCCAGCAGTTGTGTGTAAAGCTTCACTGACTTTCTGGATGCTTTCTCAGTGAAACGTTGGAATATTTTTGGGTCTCTACGCTTCATGTGAAGGGGGCCAGGTTTTGGGTCCCTGCACCTCATGTGAAGGGGCCATGTTTTGGGTCCCTGTGCCTCATGTGAAGGGGCCAGATTTTGGGTCCCTGCACCTCATGTGAAGGGGCCATGTTTTGGGTCCCTGCGCCTCATGTAAAGGGGCCATGTTTTGGGTCCCTGCGCCTCATGTGAAGGGGCCATGTTTTGGGTCCCTGCGCCTCATGTGAAGGGGCCATGTTTTGGGTCCCTGCGCCTCATGTAAAGGGGCCAGGTTTTGGGTCCCTGCGCCTCATGTAAAGGGGCCATGTTTTGGGTCCCTGCGCCTCATGTGAAGGGGCCATGTTTTGGGTCCCTGCGCCTCATGTGAAGGGGCCATGTTTTGGGTCCCTGCGCCTCATGTAAAGGGGCCATGTTTTGGGTCCCTGCGCCTCATGTGAAGGAGCCATGTTTTGGGTCCCTGCACCTCATGTGAAGGGGGCCATGTTTTGGGTCCCTGCACCTCATGTGAAGGGGGCCATGTTTTGGGTCCCTGCACCTCATGTGAAGGAGCCATGTTTTGGGTCCCTGCACCTCATGTGAAGGGGGCCATGTTTTGGGTCCCTGCACCTCATGTGAAGGGGGCCATGTTTTGGGTCCCTGTGCCTCATGTGAAGGGGGCCATGTTTTGGGTCCCTGCGCCTCATGTGAAGGTGCAAGGTTTTGGTTCTGGTTTCAGGAAGGCCAAATAAACCCATGCAACTGATGTGACTGGTAGATTGGAGCAATTTCAGTGAAATAGCTACAAGAAGCCACTGGGGCTATGCCAGAGACATTTAATTATGTTCAACAGAGGGCTTTTTGCATTTATATGGTGCACTTGGGTGTCATTATCATTACTTATACAGTAAAACTTGAGGAACACCCATTCACACGTGTGTGTATGTTGACGTGGAGTAAGCGACGCCTTCGAGATGTTCACAAGTTCACCAATTTCACCGTGTGTCTCACTTATATCTGATCAATGTGTATAATATTTATCACTATCAGGATCATCAATGTCACATTCAAAAAATTTCCTCATCTGTGAGTGATGTTGCACAAGCCAAATGGAAAGCAGTGAACCAGAACTGCGGGCATCACTCATAGATGCTAAACACAAACTGTGGGCCTACCTGCCCACATGTGGGAGTCGGCGAATGTTTTGAAGATGGCAGATGTTTACTGGAGGCTCGGGGCATCATATGGGTACCTCGTGTACCGCACACAAATTTTGACTTACAGTATATGCTAGACATAAATACAACCCTGTTGATATGCACAGTTGAGGGGTTAAAGTTACCACTCATTCCCTAAGATTTCCGACAATCTATGGGTTAATTTCACAGAGTGAAATTTAAATTTCAACTAATCATATGAAGGACAACTACCGCAAAAACCTGTTTGCAATGCAGTTTCCCTACCTCTACCCTGTTTCCCATGTCCAAGACTTAAAACCTCATTTTCAAAGGAAAAAGGGCCAATATTAAGGACTGAGGGAAACGAAGACTGGGGAAATCTTGAAATGAAAATGAACCATAGAATTTTGTTTTAAATATGCTCAGTGGCTTTCTCAAGGCCCCCAACTCTTACATTTAATCATAATTCTATCTACAGAAATCATTAAAAATGTGATTGGAGCAACATTAGGAGTGTTACCATTCATACCGTAATATTTTCTGTGCTCTATGGGTTAATGCCACTGAGCAAAACTTTAATTTTAACTTTTCTGTGCTCTATGGGTTAATGCCACTGAGCAAAACTTTAATTTTAACCTATCATATGATGGGCAACTTTCCAAACAGAGTGTGAAGTCTCAACATCCCAAGCACTTCCCCCACTCAACAGAACTGTTCTTTGTCGAATTGGGTGTGTAAGTCTGGCTTGGAAAGTGTGCACTGCAACTAGAAATTTGCTAAAATGAGGTTGCACTGTACTGTACACACATTAACATACAACTATATCAAAGATATGTATTATATAATGGAAACAAAAGCAGCAAAATGTAAAGAAAAATGCATAAATGCATTTTAGAAAGAATGTAACATTTAATTGATATCAGATAATGATAACGAACTTACTTGTTTTTTGGTGAGAGTGAACTGCTCATGGTGGTACATGTGGTTAGTGTCAGGATCCTCCACCCATATCCAGTAGGTCTCCTGACTCCCATGAACTCTGTCATTCCACCTGCACATAAGAGCTCTACTCAGTGCCATAATCTTCTCATATTCATTACAAAGTGGCAGGAAAGAGTCATTACTATGGGAAATTATATGCTAGGATACATGCAGAGCACAAAATAAATTACTGTACTACAATATAATAATACAGAAGATTAAAAAACCAATAGAATAGAGGATAGTGATAAGCCAGCATTAAATGGTAATAAAATGCCCTTTTCTGGGGGAGGGGGGGGGGCAGAGGCTCTCTGAAGCTAACTGTACTGATATGTTCTATATTAGTTTGGGGACATCAGTCACAGGAGTTCTTATGCCTACCAGGAACCACGAGCCAGAACCTGGTCCCCTCAGAGAGGCGCAGGGAGCAATGGCATATGAGCACTTTACATTTAAAGAACTGTACAGTGATACATTGGTTTTCGAATTTAATCCATTTCCAGAGACAGTTCATAAACCGAAAATTGGCAACCCGAAACAAATTTTCCCATAAGATATAATGTAAATTGAATAAATCTGTTCTAAACTTTCCAAAATATTAACTTTAAAATACATTTCATAAATAATACACACAAATATTTAGTACTATAGTATGTACAAGTTATAGCTTACATTTATTGATGACTAGTTGGTGTATGGAAAACGGTGAGGAGGGGAGGAGAAGAGTTAGTGTTTGGAAGGGGAGTCCACTTCCATTATAACATCAGGCACTGAGGACTTCTCTGGGGTACACACACATACACGTGTACAACCACACACTCTCACACGTAGCTCTCATCCTGTAACTACACTTAGGCAATTACAACTTAGGTAATTACACCATGAGCGTAGCTCTCATCCTGTAACTACACTTAGGTAATTGCACACTCACTCACTCACTCACACACACACACACACACACACACACACACACACACACACACACACACACACACACACACACACACACACATGCTACTAAGTGGCTCCCAGAACTGAAGGGCAAGAGCTACGAGGAGAGGTTAGAGGCATTAAATATGCCAAAACTAGAAGACAGAAGAAAAAGAGGTGATATGATCACTACGTACAAAATAGTAACAGGAATTGATAAAATCGACAGGGAAGATTTCCTGAGACCTGGAACTTCAAGAACAAGAGGTCATAGATTTAAACTAGCTAAACACAGATGCCGAAGAAATATAAGAAAATTCACCTTCGCAAATAGAGTGGTAGACGGTTGGAACAAGTTAAGTGAGGAGGTGGTGGAGGCCAAGATCGTCAGTAGTTTCAAAGCGTTATATGACAAAGAGTGCTGGGAAGCCGGGACACCACGAGCGTAGCTCTCATCCTGTAACTACACTTAGGTAATTACACTTAGGTAATTACACACACACACACACACACACACACACATGAAATCTTCAGAGAACCAGACACAATAAGAATTCCAGAGAACAACATAGAGCGGATAGAGGTGTCTAGAGATGAAGTGGAAAATATGCTAAAGGAGCTCGGTAAGAACAAAGCAGCTGGACCAGATGGAGTTTCACCATGGGTTCTGAGAGAATGTGCATCTGAGCTCAGCATTCCACTTCACCTGATCTTTCAAGCATCCCTGTGTACAGGAATCGTAGCAGACGTGTGGAAACAGGCTAACATAGTTCCAATCTACAAAAGTGGCAGCAGGGAAGACCCCCTCAATTATAGACCTGTATCATTGACAAGTGTAATAGTGAAAGTATTGGAAAAACTAATCAAAACTAAATGGGTAGAACACCTGGAGAGAAATGATATAATATCAGACAGACAATATGGTTTTCGATCTGGAAGATCCTGTGTATCGAATTTACTCAGTTTCTATGATCGAGCCACAGAGATATTACAGGAAAGAGATGGTTGGGTTGACTGCATCTATCTGGACCTAAAAAAGGCTTTTGACAGAGTTCCACATAAGAGGTTGTTCTGGAAACTGGGAAATATTGGAGGAGTGACAGGTAAGCTTCTATCATGGATGAAAAATTTTCTGACTGATAGAAAAATGAGGGCAGTAATCAGAGGAAATGTATCGGAATGGAGAAATGTCACAAGTGGAGTACCACAGGGTTCAGTTCTTGCACCAGTGATGTTTATTGTGTACATAAATGATCTACCAGTTGGTATACAGAATTATATGAACATGTTTGCTGATGATGCTAAGATAATAGGAAGGATAAGAAATTTAGATGATTGTCATGCCCTTCAAGAAGATCTGGACAAAATAAGTATATGGAGCACCACTTGGCAAATGGAATTTAATGTTAATAAATGTCATGTTATGGAATGTGGAATAGGAGAACATAGACCCCACACAACCTATATATTATGTGAGAAATCTTTAAAGAATTCTGATAAAGAAAGAGATCTACGGGTGGTTCTAGATAGAAAACTATCACCTGAGGACCACATAAAGAATATTGTGCAAGGAGCCTATGCTATGCTTTCTAACTTCAGAATTGCATTTAAATACATGGATGGCGATATACTAAAGAAATTGTTCATGACTTTTGTTAGGCCAAAGCTAGAATATGCAGCTGTTGTGTGGTGCCCATATCTTAAGAAGCACATCAACAAACTGGAAAAGGTGCAAAGACATGCTACTAAGTGGCTCCCAGAACTGAAGGGCAAGAGCTACGAGGAGAGGTTAGAAGCATTAAACATGCCAAAACTAGAAGACAGAAGAAAAAGAGGTGATATGATCACTACGTACAAAATAGTAACAGGAATTGATAAAATCGACAGGGAAGCTTTCCTGAGACCTGGCACTTCAAGAACAAGAGGTCATAGATTTAAACTAGCTAAACACAGTTGCCGAAGAAATATAAGAAAATTCACCTTCGCAAATAGAGTGGTAGACGGTTGGAACAAGTTAAGTGAGAAGGTGGTGGAGGCCAAGACCGTCAGTAGTTTCAAAGCGTTATATGACAAAAAGTGCTGGGAAGACGGGACACCATGAGCGTAGCTCTCATCCTGTAAGAAACTGGAACATATTGGAGGGGTGACAGGTAAGCTTTTAACATAGATGAAAATTTTCTGATAGAAAAATGAGAGCAGTAATCAGAGGCAATGTATCGGACTGGACAAATGTCACAAGTGGAGTACCACAGGGTTCAGTTCTTGCATCAGTGATGTTCATTGTCTACATAAATGATCTGCCAGATGGAATACAGAATTATATGAACATGTTTGCTGATGATGCTAAGATAATAGGGAAGATAAGAAACTTAGATGATTGTAATGCCCTTCAAGAAGACCTGGACAAAATAAGTATATGGAGCAACACTTGGCAAATGGAATTTAATGTGAATAAATGCCATGTTATGGAATGTGGAATAGGAGAACATAGACCCCCACACAATCTATAAATTATGTGAGAAATCTTTAAAGAATTCTGATAAAGAAACAGATCTAGGGGTGGTTGTAGATAGAAAAGTATCACCTGAGGACCACATAAAGAACATTGTGCGAGGAGCCTATGCTACGCTTTCTAACTTCAGAATTGCTTTTAAATACATGGATGACGAAATACTAAAGAAATTGTTCACAACTTTTATTAGACCAAAGCTGGAATATGCAGCAGTTGTATGGTGCCCATATCTTAAGAAGCACATCAACAAACTGGAAAAGGTGCAAAGACATGCCACTAAGTGGCTCCCAGAACTGAAGGACAAGAGCTACGAGGAGAGGTTAGAGGCATTAAAAATGCCAAAGCTAGAAGATAGAAGAAAAAGAGGCAATATGATCACTACGTACAAAATAGTAACAGGAATCGATAAAATTGATAGGGAAGGATTCCCGATACCTGGAACTTCAAGAACAAGAGGTCATAGATTTAAGCTAACTAAACAAAGCTGCCGAAGAAATGTAAGAAAATTCACTTTTGCAGAGTGGTAGACGGAACAAGTTAGTGAGGTGGTGGTGGAGGCAAAAACTGTCAGTAGGTTCAGAGTGTTACAAGACAGTGTGCTGGGAAGATGGGACATCACTAGTGTAGCTCTCATCCTGTAACTACACTTAGGTAATTACATCACACACTCACTCTTTCACACACACAAGTTAAGTGAGAAGGTGGTCTCTCTCAAGACCGTCAGTAGTTTCAAAGCGTTATATGACAAAGAGTGCTGGGAAGACGGGACACCACGAGCGTAGCTCTCATCCTCTCTCTCTCACTACACTTAGGTCTCTTACACTTAGGTAATTACACTCTCACACACTCACTCTTTCACACACACACTCTCACACACTCACTCTTTCACAATGTTAATAAATGTCATGTTATGGAATGTGGAATAGGAGAACATAGACCCCACACAACCTATATATTATGTGAGAAATCTTTAAAGAATTCTGATAAAGAAAGAGATCTAGGAGTGGTTCTAGATAGAAAACTATCACCTGAGGACCACATAAAGAATATTGTGCAAGGAGCCTATGCTATGCTTTCTAACTTCAGAATTGCATTTAAATACATGGATGGCGATATACTAAAGAAATTGTTCATGACTTTTGTTAGGCCAAAGCTAGAATATGCAGCTGTTGTGTGGTGCCCATATCTTAAGAAGCACATCAACAAACTGGAAAAGGTGCAAAGACATGCTACTAAGTGGCTCCCAGAACTGAAGGGCAAGAGCTACGAGGAGAGGTTAGAAGCAAAAGGTGACACCCCTAGGGTCAACACTTGCAGCAGAGGAGCTCCAGCATATTTCAACAATCCTAAGTATTGTAGTACAGGTTGATGGTAGTGAGTGGTGTCCCAGAGAACATAAAGGTATAGTGCTCTTGAAAAATAGGTGAGATAACAGGAAAGTGCTAAGGGAAGTGAAAAATCGGATGAGAAAAAGTTGCCCTAGTGTTTACAGTGCAGAGAAGAACATTCAAGATGGCCACTGGCAAGGGGAAAAACAAAACAGAGCTTGATTTTGAGGGATTCAATGAAGAAAGCATTGATATTAGTAGTCTACATAACAAGTTGGTAAATTTAGATACTATAGTGAA